CTTGAGAGTAGCTCAGTGCAGCCTCAACCTCCTGGGCTGAAGTGATCCTCCCACTGCAGCATCCTGAGTAGGGCACACACGACCATCCCAGCTAACTGTTACATTGTTTTTTGTAGAGATGAGGTTTTGCTATGTTGCTCAGGCTCGTCTCGAACTTCCAGCCTCAAGCTATCCTCCTGCCTTTTCCTCCCAAATAGCTGGGACTACAGGCATGAGTCATTTCCCCGGCTAATCTTTAAAACTTTTTGTAGAGATGGGGTCTTGCTATGTTTCCCAGACTTGTCTCAAACTCCAGGTCTCAAGAAATCCTTCTGCATTGGCCTCCCAAAGTGCTGAGATTATAGGCATGAGCCACTGTACCTGGCCTGATTTATTTATTTTGAGAGATCAGTATAATAATAGACTCATTGGTTGTCCACATTTTTACCTTGGCTTTAAAAGTAATATTATTTTTGGTAGCATATCTAGTTAGGTTTAAAGCCCAGAGTACAATTTTGGTTAGTTTTGAGTGTTTTAATTTCCGATAAAATGACTGCACACACACACGTACACATATACACACACGGACACACACATGTACACATATACACACACAGACACACACACACACAGAGACATACACACACACACACACAGTCACCACTGACCTGATTTGACAGGTCTGTCCTCTACCATCAGGAAATTTAGCCCAGGAACTAGGAATTTTCCTGGCTCAAAAATCCCAGTTCCCAGCTTACCATCCATAGATGTCCTTCTTGTTGGTCTGACTCACACAGGGAACCCAGACATAATCTTAGGGATCTCATAGGAGCCACACCCACCCCCCTGAGCCACCAAAATGCACTTCCAGATGATCTTTTTAGGGACTAGAGTCCACACGGTTGCCTAAGGAAATTCTGGGGTCCATAGCGTTAAAATACAAGGAACTGGAAATGAGGGTCCCCAGAGGCTCGGGGAATGGTTTGGAGCTAGGAATGGCTCCTGGAAACATGACTGCTTCTTCCTTTATTTTCCATTCTTGGCAATCCAGCTATAAGGTCACACAGTTTCTGAGGCAGAAAGTACTGGAAGGGACCCAAGAGCCCATGGTACCGTTCACACAGGGACTGTGTGTGAAAAGAGCTCTGAACAGGGCAGCCTCCTTGGAGGGCTGGCGAGGCCGCCACACAGGGACGGGAAGGGACGGGGTGCTTTGGTGACTTCTGCTGTAAATGTGCAATGGCAGGATTCCCTGGAGCAGGCTGGCCCTGTGGTACTGGTACATGGAACAATTTTCTCTTACAGTGATTTGCAAACTGGTTTCCTAGCCCACAATCACTTCAGGAAGTATTTTCCAAAAATAAATCTGTATATCCAAATATGCCAAAATGTGTTATCTTCCATAATTGTTTAAATTAATCCTTAGCTGCTAACTGGAAACAGCAGCATGGAATAGGTTAAGGAAACTATTATTGCAGAATTCACAAAATGGAAAAATGTTTAATTATTTGGTGTTTTTAAAGTCATGCTTTTTAACATACACATTTCTCCCAGGCCCTTTTATCAGATGGTAACTTCAAGATGACTGAGGCTACTGGGGCCACTGTACAATCTTCAGTCTTGTAACTGACCCTATTTCAGGCGTTCTCTTATGGGGACCAGACATCCAGCAAAGTAAGAGTCTGCACACCCAAGTTCAAGTTCAAGCCCTTCAGAGAGGCAGCCTGGTATCACTGGAGGGCGGAGTCTGAAGTCACAACATCATTCTTTATAGTCAACAAACTCTAAAGCTATACAAACACTGTTTTAGAGAAATAAAGAAAAGTTATCCAATTCGTCAGCCATTGCAAAAAAGATCCCATTTTCAGGAAATCAAAAGAAGGTGATGCTGTTTCCTATGTCCCAGGGAAAACCATATAAAAACTCAACACAAAACTGAAATAAGATGATACAAATTTCTTCAAGTGGCCTTTCTAAATTTTAATTCTCAATTTGCTTCTAATGGTGGGAAGATGTTTTGGAGCTGTTACAATTGGTTTTTTACCTAAAGCAGTTTGGCAGATGCCCGACAGACCCCCGAGGCTGGGCACACCCACCCTCCTGCCCACTCTGTATCACCACCTGCCCGGCCAGCCGCTGCTCAGAGCCTCCGATGCCTGCAGACCTCTCCAATTCCCCATTTCAGGAACACGTAAAGAACGCTAAGAAAAAGGAGGCAGGGAGTAATCCATTTGTTTAGACCTGAAGCTGGTCAGATTCTCATTTTTGTAGATGTTTTGAAGAAGGCAATTCACTATCTGAACACAATTTCCAGGGTACTGTTTGTAGATGAGCTCCTTGATGTCCTTAACGCGGGGTGTGCTGACATCTCTTATCTGATAGAAGAATATCTTGTTGCATTTTACATGCTAAGCTACAGAAGAAACAGTGTGCCAGGGTCTGTTTGTAGACCATCAGCCTCTTGCCACGTGGGTGGCACTGACCGTGCAGCTCTGCCAGCTCTGATGGGTGCCTGGTCAGTGCCTCTCCATTCGGCCACCTTGGACAGGCTGTGCACTGGCTGCAGAGTGGGCTGCAGGTGGCCTCTTTCATGGGTGGGGACACGGAAGTGTAGGCTCTTCCCAGTGGGAACCAGGGCTTTTGTTGAGCTCTCAGCGCCAGCTCCTGTCCAGCAGATAGGCAGTCTGCTCCCTGCCCATGAAGAATCAGAAACTTCAAGCCATGGCAACAGCAACATGTATGTTTCCTGGGGGTGGAAGTGAGGAGAGCTTGGGGCTGAAGGTGCAGGACTGGGCTTGGAGCTTTGGCCCCTTGTCCCACTGGAGAAGGCTCAAGGGGTACCCAGGGCCTCCACTCGCCTGGCCCCTCTCAAGGAGGCTGAGCCCTGCAGAGAACTGTGGAATTTGGGAGAGTGGGCCAGGGCCGAAGAGGACCCTCCTTGTTTGTGGAATACTTGTGTCACGGCGTGCTGTGCTCAGGGTCACCAGGGAGGGCAAAGGAAACAAAAAGGCCCATGGTGTGCCCGTGGATTTGCTATGGCAGAAATTCTGCATCTATGAGAGGCATGTGGCTGCCCGCCAGGCTACCCGCAGAGATTTCTTGAAAACTTTCCCACAAACAGGCTCATCATCCCACCCATCTCACGCCAATGCCCCCTTTGTGTGCCCAGAACATATAGTGTTTATTTGCTCCACATAGCTCACCCCTGGAGCCTCCCACGGCAGGGAAGGAGCCTCCCACGGCAGGGAAGGAGCCTCCCACGGCAGGGAAGGAGCCACAGGAGAGGCAGCCGTGTGCTGGGGGAGCCTCAGGACGGAGATGGGGTTGTCTAGGCAGGACCATGTGCTGGCTGTCACCCCTGTGAGGCTGCATGCCCTGAGCTCAAGGTTCTTCCTCCTCCAATGAGGCAACAGTCCATATGCCCAGCTTCCCTAACACAGCTGGTGTAGAGATACCAGATTCTTAAAAAAAACAGCCCAATATTCATGTAAGTTCAGTTCCACGTGGAGCCTCTGGCGAATCTCATGGTGACTTGTGCCAACACTGGACAGACCCAGAGCAGTCAAAAGATTTCCTTTAAGAAAGTGGCATCACAGGTAGTACTAGGAATTGCTTCTCACTGGGGAGTAAACAACTTAAAAAAGATTATCCCCAGCTCTTGGCCAATTTGACATAGTGGGAGCTCAAAACATACTAGTTGAACTGAGTTGGATTTGGACTTTTAGAAAAGGTCTGGAGACAAACATGGCTGACCTTGTTTTTTACTTTTATTTTTTGAGGCTGAGTCTTGCTCTGTAACCCAGGCTAGAGGGCAGAGGTGTGACCTCGGCTCACTGTAGCCTCTGCCTCCCTCAGGTTCAAGTGATTCTCCTGCCTCAGCCTCCTGAATAGCTAGGATTACAGGTGCCCTCCACCACATCCAGATAATTTTTGCACTTTTAGTAGAGATGAGGTTTTGCCATGTTGCCCAGGTTGGTTTTGAACTCCTGGACTCAAGTGATCCGCCTGCCTTAGCCTCCCAAAGTGCTGGTATTACAGGTGTCAGACACTGCACCCGGCCAAACATGGCTGACTTTGATTCTCGGTTCCATCACCTACTATGTGACCTTGAGCACACAGTTGAATCTCTTTAAGGCCTGGTTGCCGCATTTGCAAAACGGATGTAACAGTTGTAGCTCCCGCATGCACTGCTCCAATGAGTGCTTGCACTGCGTGTCGTAAAATGTCCTGGGTCCTGGTGCACAATTAGGGCTTTCATCGTTCCTATCACAATGTTTCTACAACTAGTCTGGAAACACCTTGGGCAAAGGAGTAAGGCCCTAAACAATATTGATCCTTCCACCCACTTCCCATCCATCATTTACCCACCCACATATCCATCCATCATCCATCCATCCATCCATCCATCCATCCATCCACTCATCCATCCATTCACCCATGTATCCACCCGTCCACTCATCTGTTCATCCACCCATCCACCCATGTATCTGCTCATCCATCCATATATCAATGTATCCACCTATCCACCCATCCATTCACCCAGCATCTGTCCATCCATCTATCCACCCATCCATCAATCCACCAAATCCATCCACGTACTCATCCATCATCCAACCATCCATCCACCCACTTGTCTACTCATCTATTCATCCACCCATCTACCCATGTATCTACTCATCCACCCATATATCAATTTATCTGTCTATCTGCCCATCCATTTACCCAGCACCTATCTATCCATCAGTCCACCATCCATCAATCCCCCCATCCACCCACCCACATATCCGTTTATCCATCCATCCACCCACCCATCTGATACTCACATAATGCCTTGAGTTAGGCACGGTTCTAAGGATGGTTCTCACTAATTCTTACCCTGACAGAGTCCTGCTCCCCACTGCACCCCTCATCCAGAGCATAGTGGAGCCTATGATGAAATATCTCTTGTGATTGTTACCTAATGGGGCAAAAAAAGGAGACTATCTGGGGTCCTCAGACCTAATCACAGGAGCCTTTTACAGGCAGAGTTTTCTCCGCTGGTGGCACAAGTAGAGGTCAGAGAGACTCCAGGCTGAGAAGGATTTGAGGCGCCAGGGCCGGCTTGAAGACAGCGGGAACAATGTGCACGATCGGAGAGGAAGCCCCGGGAGCTGACAGTGACTTTTGACACCACTAGCAAGGATGGGGTTGACGATTCCCACAGATCTGAATTCTGCTGCAAATTGAATGAGCTGGGGAGTGGGTTCCCTCCCAGAGCCTCTAAGAAGAGCCTGGTCGCTGACTCCTTAATGCTAGGCCTGGAGACCCAGAGTGCAGACCCCAATTGAGCCTGCCCTGAATTTGATCTACAAAATTTCGAGCTCATAAACCTGTTTCAAGCTGCAAAATATGTGGTGATTTGTTACACGGCAATAGAAAAACAGATGCACGCCTCCCACAGCCTCCCACTGCCTACGTGAGACAGGGCTACAGGACACCAGTGGGCAGAACAGTCTCTGCCCTCATTTTGCTGGTGGATTAGAAGATGAAAGTTAATAAAATCTGGTGGCGCATTTTATGACCTCCCTGCTTACTCCTTTGGAGACTCTCTTGCTTTGTGACCACTGGCTTGTCCACCTGGCCCAGCCCCTGCCTCCCCTTGGTGAGCTCCTGGGACCTCAGCCTGGGTGGGCGAGGTCCTCTTTGTACCATTTGCTGCAGGCCCCCGTGCACCATTATCTCAGGTCTGTCTATTAGCTTTTCGCAAACTGTTTCCTGAAGCCTGAGTGCGCTGCACGATGTCAAAATCTGGTCTTTGAGAAAGCACGGCTCCGTGGTTAAATGGCTAGGGAAGTGCTTCTGTAATTCAAGACTCATCAGGGGCTTCACTGTGCAGAGCCGGAGGATGCAGCGTCCACCAAGTTTACCTTCCATGGAAGCATAGCTCCCCAGGTGCCTGGCAGCCCTCTGAGAACAGACTGTGGGCACAGGCTGCGAGATGCTGCTAAAACTTTGCCCAGGTTTCCTTTGCTTCTCCAGATAGCTGCTTCTTCCGCATTCCCGACTCATGCTCATTCTAAGTGGGTTATCAACCTATGGCTTTCACAGTGAATGGGACCCGCAGGTGTCCTGGGACGTATACACTGCATTCTAAGTGTCTATTTGCCCACAGATCACCACTGTACGCTCTTTGGAATAGTTTTTCTCTGTTACCAGAATGTTATACATGTAGTAGATGTCCACTAAATATTTCTGAGCAAAGAAGACTGTTACATTTCACGAATCCATCCTGTTTTTCTGTTTCTCAGTTCAAAATGTGCTGTGGTCACTGACATGAACCATCCATTCACATCTCCATTAAAAGTCAGCCTTTGGCCGATGAAGGCCAGTGCTCTCCGGTACCCAGACCAGAAGTGTATGGTCCATGCGGAGCTGTCTGTTCGCTGTCTTGACAGCAGTAAGGCAGCCCTGCAGATGACGCTAAAGCAATGCCGTGACGCCACACTCACACTGCAGGTGGAGAAGGACGACGACCGTGAGGCTGACTTACTTTCATACAAATTAAATACACGGGACCTAAGTCTATAATAATAGGTTTCCAAGAAAAAATACTCTACAGAAAGCAAATGGCCATCATATTGAGGGAGAACCTTTCAGAATAAGCACATTGCCATGAAAGACCCTCCTGCAAGCATTACTGCTTAAGAATTCTTTCAAACTTGATGGACTTTAAAGATTTTTGGGTAAGGAAACACCCCCTACAATCATTCTGCTGACTGAGAACTTGCTAGGCCAGCTCCTTTTTCTCATACAGCAAATACAGCTGGCAGTTCTTGGGTCAAATTAGAGGAAGAGGGAAAGGAAGAGGAGATGAGACTCACACCACTGGTCACATTTTGGAGGACTGGGCCGAACAAGTGGCCAGATTTGATCCCCCAGTGAGATCGGGAGTATGGCCAGTTTTGGGGACAGACTGGCCAGAGCCACAGAGAGGTGACTGGAGGGGCTGTTTTTGGGCATCCTCAGCAGGGCCAGCAGCTCTCCTCTTGAGCATCACTGAACAGGATCTGGGGGCTGATTCTGGAGAGCTGTGCAGGGCATGCGGGGGAAATGAATCAACAGTGGAGAGCTCCAGCTTCCAAGCAGATCGATTTTGTGACTGAGCAGGTAGTTAAAACCTCAGTATTTTACTGGCCTTCTCCTTTTCTCTTCCGTTCTCTGGCTTGCAGAGTGGGAGGAGGAGGAAGCACACACAGTCTCTCCGATGAAGCTGCTCTGAGCAGCCGAGGCGCCTGAGGCACGTCGCTGCTGGGTGACAGGACGGCACCAAATGCTGGCGACAGAGACGTGGCCACACGCGGAAAGCAGGCGACAGGCCTCTCGAGGTCTGCGGTGTGTTCCCCAATTACACAGAAATACATCGTTGTGAAATAAATAGCACCTCTGCCTCTGCAGGTTATTTCCATGCAAATGCAGAGTCACAGTAGGGAATAAGGGAATCGATATTAAAAATCCAACCGAGACAGTAAATCAAATCCTCGAAAGGGTTCTTGTAAATAATGGCTTCAGTCAGTTCCAGGGCCCATGATTTTAGCAGCCAGCAATACTAAGTTAGAAGACTTCTCAATATATCCACAAACGATCAGTACATTGAAAGACGAATCACATCCGTGTGTGATCTATATAGACATTAAGAGTTTGTGCCAGAAGTGTTAGATTAAAGGGGTGAGGAACAACAGCTCAGTTTAAAAGAAAAGAAACATGTGGGCAAATAACAGGAGATGGGGCAAGTTCTGCAATAATTCAGCCACATGAGGAAGGCTGGCCACAGTGTGAACTGGCAGTCCTGGGTTTCAGGTTGCAAAGACAATAATTCAGCCACATGAGGAAGGCTGGCCACAGTGTGAACTGGCAGTCCTGGGTTTCAGGTTGCAAAGACAATAATTCAGCCACATGAGGAAGGCTGGCCACAGTGTGAACTGGCAGTCCTGGGTTTCAGGTTGCAAAGACAATAATTCAGCCACATGAGGAAGGCTGGCCACAGTGTGAACTGGCAGTCCTGGGTTTCAGGTTGCAAAGACAATAATTCAGCCGCATGAGGAAGGCTGGCCACAGTGTGAACTGGCAGTCCTGGGTTTCAGGTTGCAAAGACCTTTCTGCTGCACCTTGATATTTGGTCGTCTGATACACAGAGAGCGCACGTTACTAACCAGAGTTTACACCTGAGGGACCCAGCAGTAGTGGCCCTTACTCAACAGCATGCTGGGAGTAGAAATGCACACTGTTCACTGACATGGTATTTGGTGTTTCTTTGCTCTCATGCCACAACTGGCTCCTGGGAATGACACGAGCCTAAGCCTGCAGACCTTTGACTGTGTCTGTTCCCCTCTCTCCTACATTCCCAGCACCTAACCCCGGGTTTGGCATCAAGTGCTTGCTATATATGGGTGCATACATGCATGTGTGTGTGTGTGGATGTACGTTTATGTACGTATGGACATGTGCATACAGAGATTTACACATGTATGCATATCACTTGCTTGATGCAAGAATGACTCATCAATTAATTAATACAATGTGTGCTCTTATTTGCTTTTTATTTATTTTTTTATTGCATTTTAGGTTTTGGGGTACATGTGAAGAACATGCAAGATTGTTGCATAGGTACACACATGGCAGAGTGATTTGCTGCCTTCCTCCCCTTCACCTACATCTGGCATCTCTCCCCTTGCTATCTCTCCCCAGCTCCCCACCCCCCCGTCCCTCCCCCATTTCCCCCCAACAGACCCCAGTGTGTAGCGCTCCCCTCCCTGTGTCCATGTGTTCTCATTGTTCAACACCTGCCTATGAGTGAGAACATGCGGTGTTTGATTTTCTGCTCTTATTTGCTTTTTAGGTAATATTTTAAAGCCGAAGAAATTTGAAGAGTGACCAGAGTTTCTCCTTTGTATTCTGTACTGGGCAGAACACGATGTCACTGATTAGGATGGAGGTTTGAATCCTCAGTGAGAAGCATCTGCAAACAATGCCTCGGGGCCCAATCTAGCCCATCTGTTTTTGTACAACTGGAAAAGTGAGGATATTTTTTTTTTACCTATTGAACAGTTAAAAAAGAAAAACAGTATTTTGTGACACATGAAAGGCATAGTGCATTCAATTTTTGGTGTCCATAAAGTTTCGCTGAAACACAGTCACAGTCATTTGCTGATGAAAGTGTCCCTGGCTGCTTTTGTGCACTGATGGCAGGTACGCAGGCAGAGGCTCCACAGGGACTGCGTGGCCTGAAAACCGAAGGTTACTATCTGGCCCTTCTGTGATCAATAAGGTCATTTAAAGCTCTGAGAACAGGCAGGCATGATTCGCTGGTGCTGCCCTGATAGGACAGAGCACTGAGAGTGAACACAACTCAACTCAGGAGTCAGATTTCTGTGAGCCTCTAGGTGCAGGAAGCCAGGGCGAGGTACTACTGTGCACCGCTGAAGCTCTGTGGCTAGACAGGTAAGGCCAAGTTAAAAATGCATTCAGTTTTAATTTCATGAAGGAAATGGACGAGAATTATTTTAAAACCAGAGGATGAATGTAAGGTGATGGAAGAAGTCAGCCCTAGGGGACAATTTACATTTAATTCATACCCAAAAGCCACCCTGGAACACAGCAGGCACGCAGGGGAGGGGAAACAGGATCCCATATGCCGGAGGACAGGGTGCAGGTGAGTATGTACAGCGTGAGCAGCCTTTCCTCATGTCAGCATCCTGCCAGAGGAGAGCTGTTTCTGGACAAAGACATTCTGAAATCAGGTAGGAGCTGTGAATTAAGTGGTAGGAAGGAAGAACAGGATCTGTGATCACGTATCACTGAGAAGCTAGAGGAAAAGGGGAGTAGAAGGGAGACGCAGGGGTGGATGTGCAGCACCTCTCCTGTCACCCGAATAGAGCACTTGCAGTGACACCTCGACAGCCAGGCCCTCTGAGCCAGGGAACACTGGTGCGGCCGGCATCACTGCTCCGCATTGCATGAGTGCTTGTGACTTGGTTTTCATTGTTCTTAGAGGAGGAAAATTACTGAGGACTGAGAACTTTATTTGTACAAAATCACATGTCAATCATAAAGCCACAGTTACATAAATGCAGATGCACCTGCCTTGGCACTCACAAGTGTCTTAAGCTTCTTTAAGAACTCTTCTATTATTTTTACTTCTTTCTTCCCTTCCAATTCTAAAATTTGCTTGCTAGATGATCAAACACACGTTTGTTTAGAAAGAATGATCCGTAAGAGACCCACGGAACGCCCATGAGATTAGTGCCACAGACCCTGCATCATGGGTTTGTAACCAGTAAAAAGATGCTAGCTTTCTGGCAATCACAGCGCTGTATGAGACAATTACCAGCTGAGCTCTCTGACACAGAAATAAAGGAAAACAGAATTCATGATGGGGTGGAAACAGCTCTCATTTTCTATGACCTTTCTGGAAGTTTTGCTTGCTGAATACACGCATTCCCTGCATTATCTCACAACTGTTCCAAATTTAAGAAGCGAGGGCATGGGAGGTGTGCAGAAAGTGGCGTGCTCTTTTACCCTCCCAGACAAAGGCACGTGTTTGAGAACCTAGGAAACCTCTCGCTCAGCCCCCCCAGCGGGCCTGACTCTCGGCCCTGGGCACCTTGCGGTGAGTCCATGCTGTGCCTCACTCTGAATGGCACCCCTTCCCTTAGCTGAAACATGTCAGGTTCACCTTTCACACTTCCAAAAACATTTGCATGGTTTTGTAAATATTCAGAGAATACTTTCATTATTTCTTATCTGCAAACTCGAGTGAAAAACCATAACCATTAATATGTACTCTGTTTTGCAAGATAGACATGACCCACAGCTTACAATGGGAAAAATAACGGATACATTTACCACCAGGCATTTTGTAAGGGAGAGAGTTATTTTGGGTCTTTTCTTGGGGACAGTGGCCAAGCTGTACGCAGCACTTACTGTCCCTGGAAGCTGCAGGAACAATGGTGTCAAATGTCTTGCACAGTGGCAGGGCCGGGGCCTCACACAATGTCTGCTTTTCAGAAATGGCATGCAACACCCAGTAAGCGGCTGCACAGGGCCGCCCGGTACCAGCGCGTGTTAGCTACTATTTTTTAAGGATAAAAATAACTTAAAAGCTCTTCAAGCGAGAAACTATTCAGTAAAATACTTTCAAAAAGCCTCAGGCAGTAACACGATTTTCCAGATTAGGGGAAGGTGATGTAATAATTAGACAAATGGGAAGAAGGATGCTCCGAGGTATCATTTATAAAACTGGCCTCGGAGGACTCCCTCCAACCGCACTGGATATACGACCAAGCTACTCCCAGATATACACTGCTTTAGAAAAGAATGCATACTAACATTTAAATGCCTTGTTTTTCTTTCAGGAAACATTTTGAGAAAATGTATCAATCAAAGAATCAGATATTATTTACATTTTATAAGGCCTATCAGAAGGAAGCAATTGAAATATTTCCCATCCATGCATCTAGAGGAGGAAGAGACTTTTAAAGGTATATTTATGAAATTCTAACTTAATCACAATGGGTACTTACAATAACCTTTCACCTTTTGTTGCATGAATCTTGAATAAGTTGGTAATTAAAAAATGATCATAAGTAGAAAGTCAACATCTCCACATCATGAAAATAAATTCATAAACAGTTCTTCAAAATTGAAATACAATTATCTCCTTAAATCTCACTGTATCGTTTTTCTATGTTTATCACAGGAACAAGCTGGGATAGATTCTTGTGAGTCAGGCTTGGGTTATTTCTGAGGGGTGCGGGCTACCATGACATCTAAAAGCTGTAAATAAGTGCTGTGGCCTGCAGGGCACCCCGCAGACCTGCTGGTGACCCTGCCCTGCTCCTGCTGCAATCACTGGAGGCCAGTGTGACACTCACAGCAGCATGGACATGGGTTGCAAGGTCCTTTTCGGTCTCAACCTCTACAAACACCCAAATGCAGTGCATGAAATGTTTTCATTTACAAAATGGTTTCATTTGGGATTAAGCTTTGAACCTGCATGCATGCCCCCCACACTGCAATGGACTGAGTTATTGCTTCGGTGTTGCGGGGTGATGGGTAAGACTTTCCCAGGGGACCCAGAGTTGGTGAGAAAGGGATGCAGGGTACGTGGGAGCGGACACGTCTCTGTTGATTTAAGTCGCTGTTTTCACAAACGCTGCTCACATGCCCACACATGCAGGGCAGGACTGTCGCACGTCAGCTCTGCTCGGCTTTCCAGGCCGGATCTGGTCCCAGCAACTCCACCTGACCTGGACTCCTGCCCCTGTGCCATTGCCCTGGCTGCCATCCTGTGCCTCCCGATTTCTGTATCTTTGATCCTGAGGCTCTCTGCCTCTTTGCCTCCTCTTTGGAGGCGGTGCAAATCCTGCCCTCCTTTGGGCGGTGAGTTCCTCCTGCTGGACCCTCCCCCAATGCCCTCTGCACTGCACCCGGGGCTGGTTTGCGGAGGTCAAATGCACTCTCGGTGACTTAAATGTCTCATAAGTGACCCCCTTCACCTGCATGTGAACTCCCGAGGGCAGCAGCCTCTTCCACGCCCCCTGTGGATGCTGCAATGCCCAGCACCACGCTGGTGGCTCACAGACTACACACCTGAGATGGGGTTCAAACCCCTCCTCAACTGCCCTCAAGCTTCAGGTCCACCGTGACCTCCCCAAACTCTGCTGCAGCTGCCGTGGTGCCAGCCCCCTGGCCCTCTCTTCTGCCTCCAGAGATCAGGCTCCAGTGTCCCAGGCCTGGGAACTGCTGTCCTCCTGCTCAGCAGGAAGTTCTGCTCACAGGCTGCTCTCCCTGTCCAGGCCTTCCTGACCTCTCGTGCCTGGAGAGCCTCTCCGGGGGCTGCTTCCCCACCCTGCCTCCCTACCCCAGCTCCCTACTCGCACCTGGGGTGCAGGTGCTCTCTGGTCACACCCTTCTGTCCCGTGTGGTGCTGAGGCCCCCACACACGAGGGGCCCCAGAACCACCTGCCATGTGAATAAACAAAGTCAGATTTGAAATGCTTAAAAGCAAACTGAACTGAACTTGTAAGAGGAGAAGGGAAAACGTTCATTTAAAAACATTGTATTTTGTTTTCTTTCCAAATAAATTTACTTGTAGGAAATGGAAATGTCGGTTCTCTTAACAACAATCCTTAGGATGACTGTAAAGTTGTCTGTTGCATCCTGTGTGTGTGTGTGACTGTGTGACTGTGGGAATGTGACTCTGTTAGAGGACGTGTGTGTGTGTGAGTGTGGTGTGTGTGTAAGTGTGGGGAGTGAGGAGTGTGTGAGTGTTCAAGATTCCCTACATAACAGGATACACACAGATGGGCTGGTAAGCGGATGAATACGATCTTCATGTATTTTGATGGGGGATGGTTTCTCTAAGTAAGCAGCCTATGTGTCTATGGGTTAATCTGCTTGTTCTTTGCCATCAGAAAAGGGACATGATGTTGGTTGGAGGAAGCTGGTGACAAGACAACAGCCAATGGACAGAGGTCTCTCTAGTCACCATGTGAATGTTACAGCCCACCCGTTAACGCGCAACTGAGTGTTAAGCCAACTGACCCCCTGCAGAGCACCTGCCTGCACCTGGTCAGGGTCTCTGGAGCCCTGCTGCCAGCAGACACATTTGCAAGCGTCTCCGACAATGTCCTAACGGAGGCCCCTGCACTGCCAGCACCGACTTCCACTGCAAAGTCTGAAAACTCTTGACATTCGCTTGTTAGCCAGGGGGGCTCAGAGCACTGAAATCTATGGACAGTGACAAAATTCCACATTGCTCTGTAATTTCCATTTCTGTAGCAAAGCCATGTCCAAAGTTGAAAAACTGCTATTGTGAATTTAATCTTTCATTTTTATTAGAAAGAGCACCGATTAACAGTGAAATTGCTGAAATCCTAGCACGTAGGCAGTACAGGAAAATGGAGACCAAAACCTCCACGCAACTGACACCCTGGAAAGCGGATGGTGCCTTTGGGCTGCGGGAGTGTTTTTCAGCACAGCTGTGAGGTGCGTATTGGGCACTAACGCACAGTTTTAGAAATCCAGCTACAAGACTGAGGCCCGGCTTCATGGAAAGCGTGCTGACAGATCTGACATTTGTATTCTGGAAGACACCAGGAGGGAGAGCTTCACTCATGCACTATTACACAAACTAGAAACTGAATGTGCAACATATTTAATAATCTAGATATTCAAATTGCTGGATCAAACTTTGTTAACTATAGACATGAATGTTGGTATTATGTAGCTGTTTAAATGTTACACAGTTTTACTCCTTGGTAACATTAAAACCCACAGAAACTTCACATTCTGAGAGTGTCAGATGCTGGCTAGATGAGGCCATTATTCTGCCTGTTCTGGAACATTCTCAGGCATGGGAGCTTACTCCTGCATCAGCAGAATACCCAGTTTTCTGGGATATTTGTGCTGCAGAACCCCAGACCACTTTTCTTCCCCACGTTAAGTATCTATTAGCTGCTACACAAACAACTCGCTCCATGAATTCACAGAAGAACCCAGGACAGGCAAATGCACAGATGCAGAAAGTTAGACTCACAGTGGCTGGGGCTGGGGTAAGATGTGTGGGAGAAGCTAATGGAGAAGGCCTTCTAGTGGCTCCAGGTGTCCTTGCTGGGATGGTGAGCATGTTCTAAGGTTAGATTATGACGGTTGCACAATTCTGTGAATTCACTGAAAACCGTTAACATGTACCCTGAAGATGGCTGAACTTCGCAGTTTGTAAATTATCTCACTAAGCTTGTTAAAACATAAAAGCAATTAAATCAGTTTCCATTTTACTGTTTTTTCGCTTCAACATAACTTTTCAACAAAACAGAAAATACATCAGAAGATAAAGACGGTGTACTCAATCCCATTTTTAAGGCAACGGAGAGAACCAGAGATATATTTAATTCCAAATGGCTAGCAAATGAACTGATTATGTGCCAGAACATGCCAGCGAATAATGTACGTATGACGCAGTCAAGGAATTAGATCTATCAACCTTCAGAAGAAAATTCTGTGCAGAAATACAATGATATCGTAGTACTACTAAAAGCAATTCACCCCAAAGCTAGAAATCAAATAATTTTCAAAAATGTGATGATCAAGCATTGCCAATAAAAATAGGCCCATTATTGATTTTAGAATTGAACGTTTAAATGAGCTAAGTGTCTGCTTTTTAGTGTCTCTCCTTTGATCCCCTTGGAATCTCCGCTGGGAAGGGCCCTCCTTCCACACACAGCGCCCAGTGGGAACACAGCTGTGGGCAGTCATGGTACTGCTATTTCCTCATCTTTACCTGAAAGAGAACCTAGCAGCGTTCTGAGGACTGTGCAGAGGCAGAGGGAAAGCTGGGCCATCCTCACAGGAAACTGTTTCTTTTATGATGAAGGAGGTGGGTGAAAGGAAGAGGCCCAGCTGGAGAAGAGAAAAATGAACGGTCATCACTCAAAGACCACTGTGTGAGGCCTTTTACTGGCATCTGACTTTACACCTCCCCACCAATCTCTGCAAGGCAGGTTCCTCTTCTTTTCTTCTCTTCTTTCTTTCCTTTTCTCCCTCTCTCTCTGTTACCCAGGCTGGAATGCAGTGGTGCAATCCTGGCTCACTGCAACCTCGGCCTCCTGGGTTCAAGCGATTCTCCTGTCTCAGCCTCTTGAGGATTACAGGTGCCTGACACCACACCTGGCTAATTTTTTAATTTTTAGTGGAGATGGGGTTTCACCATGTTGGTCAGGCTGGTCTGGAACTCCTTGGTCCCTCAAAGTGCTGGGATTACAGGCGTGAGCCACTGTGCCTAGCCCATCTCTGGAAGTTCTATAATCTCCATTTTACAGATGGAAAAGCTGAGGATCAAAGAGGGCAAACAAAAACCATTTAATATACACGTATTAAGCAATAGGGTTGGGATTTGAACCCAGGTTAAGAATAATCTCTACGAGGGCAGGGTTTTTAATCTGTTTTGTTCACTGCTGTACTCCTGCCTGACACTGATTTTTGGGGCATAAAGATTGTTCAATAAGTGTTTGTAGAATAAGTTTTATTTCAAAATAATAAAAAGCTTTGATATATGATGAGGATGGAACCTGTGTTGTGAGACATGCTCATAGCTGGGTCTCTTTCACACCCTAACAAAGGAAAGGCTCACTTTACATTCTGTTTCTTTTGAAATTCATATCAGTGGAGAGTCCAAAGCTATCCGGGGTTGCTGAAATGGGACCTGGAAGACTTGTCTTGCTGGTTTGGGAGGAGAATTTTGCCTATTTGCATATGTCATGCTCAGATTTATTTATTATTAGGAAAATAAGTGCCATTATACAATCCTGTCATTGCAGATCATCATTTTTGGTCACATGTGGATTTTATTTACTCATCATTAGATATGGATAATGATCATTTTATTTTTTTATTTTCATTTTTTGTTTTTGAGATGGAGTCTCGCTCTGTGGCCCAGGCTGGAGTGCAGTGGTGCCATCTTGGCTCTCTGCAACCTCTGCATCCCAGGTTCAAGTGATTCTTCTGCCTCAGCTTCCTGAGTAGCTGGGATCACAAGCACCCACCACCATGCCTGGCTAATTTTTTTATTTTTGGTAGAGATGGGGTTTTGCCAGGTTGGCAAGGCTGGTCTTGAACTCCGGACCTCAAGTGATCTGCCTGTCTCAGCCTCCCAAAGTGCTGAAATTACAGGCGTGAGCCACTGCATTCAGGTCTAATGATCGTTTTAAACTCCCAAAACAAAGAGCACTTTTGTAACCATGGAAACAAGTTCTATTTTAATTTTTTTGCAAAGTGTAGAGTTTGTCATTGCTGATGTTCTTGGTAGAATGTCAATAGCAAGAACAAAAATTACAAGTTTTCATTGAGTAATGCTATTCCAAATTCTTGTTCGTCTCTTGAGTTCAAGAAATCACATGTCTAAAAGTCATGACTGTTCTATGGAAACATTTCCAGACTTGCTCGGTTTTGACTC